AATAAAGGATATTCAAATAGGAATAGAGGAAGTAAAATTGTCTCTGTTTGCAGATGACATGATTACAACTCACAAGAGATATGAAGGACCTCTTCAAGGAGAACTACAAACCACTGCTCAAGGAAATAAGAGAGGACACAAACAAATGTTAAAACATTCCATGCTCATGGATAGGAATAATCAATATCGTGAAAATGGCAATATTGCCCACAGTAATTTATATATTCAATGCTATCCCCATCAAACTACCACTGACTTTCTTCACAGAATTAGAAAAAACTACTTTAAATTTCATATGGAACCAAAAAAGAGCCCATATAGCCAAGACAATCCTAAGCAAAAGAACAAAGCTGGAGGCATCACGCTACCTAACTTCAAACTATACTACAAGGCTACAGTAACCAAAACAGCATGGTACTGGTACCAAAACAGATATACAGACCAATGGAAAAGAACAGAGGCCCCAGAAATAATGCCACAGATCTACAACCATCTGATCTTTGACAAACCTGACAAAAACAAGCAATGGGGAAAGGATTCCCTATTTAATGAATGGTATTGGGAAAACTGGCTAGTCATATGCAGAAAACTAAAACTGGACCCCCCTCCTTAACATCTTATACAAAAATTAACTCAAGATGGATTAAAGACTTAAACGTAAAACCTAAAACCATAAAAACCCTAGAAGAAAACTTAGGCAATACCATTCAGGACATAGGCATGGGCAAAGACTTCATGACTAAAACACCAAAAGCAATGGCCACAAAAGCCAAAACTGACAAATGGGATCTAATTAAACTAAAGAGCTTCTGCACAGCAAAAGAAAATATCATCAGAGTGAACACGCAACCTACAGAATGGGAGAAAGATTTTGCTGACAAAGGGCTAATATCCAGAATCTACAAGGAACTTAAATTTACAAGAAAAAAACAAACAACTCCACCAAAAAGTGGGTGAAGCATATGAACAGACACTTCTCAAAAGAAAGCATTTATGTAGCCAACAAACATATGAAAAAAGGCTCATCATCACTGGTCATTAGAGAAATGCAAATCAAAACCACAATCAGATACCATGTCACGTCACTTAGAATGGCCATCAATAAAAAAAGTCAGGAAACAACAGACGCTGGAGAGGATGTGGAGAAATAGGAATGCTTTTACACTGTTGGTGGGAGTGTAAATTAGTTCAACCATTGTGGAAGACGGTGTGGCGATTCCTCAAGGATCTAGAACCAGAAATATCTTTTGACCCAGCAATCCCATTACTGGGTGTATATCCCAAAGAATTATAAATCATTCTACTGTAAAGACACATGCACAACGTATGTTTACTGCAGCACTATTCACAATAGCAAAGACTTGGAACCAACCCAAATGCCCATCAATAATAGACTGGATAAAAATGTGGCACATAAACCCCATGGAATACTATGCAGCCATAAAAAGGATGAGTTCACGTCCTTTTCAGGGACATAGATGAAGCTGGAAACCATCATTCTCAGCAAACTAACACAGGAACAGAAAACCAAACACCATGTGTTCTCACTCATAAGTGGGAGTTGAACAATGAGAACACACAGACACAGGGAGGGGAACATCATGCACTGAGGCCTGTCGGGGGTTAGGGGGTTAGGGGAGGGATAGCATTAGGAGAAATACCTAATGTAGATGACGGGTTGATGAGTGCAGCAAACCACCATGGCACGTGTATACCTATGTAACAAACCTGCACATTCTGCACATGTATCCCAGAACTTAAAATATAATTTTAAAAAAAGGAAAAAAATTATCTATTGGTTAATTGGCCAAACATTTCCTAATTTAAAACTTAGAAGGATTTTATGTTATAAGTGATTTACTAATACTAAGCTCTTAAACAAGTTTACTGTAGTATTTTCAAAGAAAAAGCTTAAAAATTAGATAGAAATTTCTACTTGATACCTTTGTCATTCAATGAAAGGCCTTCTCACTCTATTTAAATTTTTCTTTTTTTAAGATGGTTAGCTATAATCACTAGTGACCCTTATCCTAATGGGAAATGAGTATGTGCTTCATCCAATTTCTAAAATCAATTCTAAATCTTCTTCCAGAATCACAGCAGACTGGTTGAGAAAATAAATCTAAAAAGGGGAAATCATTTTTTCTTTTTTAGAAATTATTATTCTTCTGGCCTATTTTTTCCTTTAGCGACAACTTAGTAAACCAGGCCAATGACCGCTTTATATCCATGCATGTACCTAGAGTTAGGTTAATAAGTATGATTTCACCTACAGAACTGGAAAGACAGTTGTTCCTTTTTTTTGAGACGGAGTCTTGCACTGTTGCCCAGGCTGGAGTGCAGTGGTGCGAATTCGGCTCACTGCAACCTCTGCCTCCCGGGTTCAAGCAATTCTCCTGCCTCAACCTCCCAAGTAGCTGGGATTACAGGCACCCGCCACTACGCCCAGTTATTCTGTATTTTTAGTAGAGACGGGGTTTCACTATGTTGGCCAGGCTGGTCTCAAACTCCTGACCTCGTGATCCACCCGCCTTGGCCTCCCAAAGTGCTGGGATTACCAGCGTGAGCCACTGGCCGGCCCATTTTTTTTTTTTTTTAGATGGAGTCTTGCTCTGTCACCCAGGCTGGAGTGCAGTGGTGCGATCTCAGCTCACTGCAATCTCCACCTCCCAGGTTCAAGTGATTCTCCTGCCTCAGCCTCCTGAGTAGCTGGGACTACAGATGCATGCCACCACACCCGGTTAATTTTTGTGTTTTTAGTAGAGATGGGGTTTCACCATGTTGGCCAGGCTGATCTTGAACTCCTGGCCTCAAGGGGTCTGACCGCCTCAGCCTCCCAAAGTGCTGGGATTACATGCATAAACCACTGCACCTGCCAATAACTGTTCTTGTTTCGCAAAACGTCCAATCTATAACTCCAGCTGTTTCACTACAACTGTCCCCATGAGAGACCAGTTAGCTTATATACTTGATCAAGCATCACATACACCCAGCTAAGCATACAAAGTTTAGGAAACCATTCCAGATCAGTAACTAGCCATTTGTTTCACTACTTTAAAAACTAGTGTTGTTTCTCCTCCATACTGCACTGCCTTTTTAAAAAGTTTTGTTTTGTTTTGTTTTGTTTTGTTTTACAAATTCTACTCTCCTACTATCAGCTTATCCATCAACAACCCTGAGACTTCATACTTCAAACATTAGGTAATAAGAAACTTCTTTCCAGTCTCTTACACAGCAATCTCAGGCTTTTCACCACATATTTAATGATATTTTAATGAAATAGTACACAAAACTCTTAAGATTCTTATCAAATAAGAAATGAGTACGAAAACTATCCTCACAAAATAGCTCATGTTGGAATGTCTGATAAACCCTCAAGAAGTACTTACAGGAAAAAAATTCAGATGCTTTCAAGTTGTCCAGAATCAAAAACCCTAAAAATATACATTCTTATCGACAAAGATAACAAGTACACGTAATGATGACTTCAAAACACTTCAAGAAATCCTGACTCTTTAATTTTATACTTTAACATTTTTAAATGTATAATGTACATATCTAATACATTCCAAATTATTAAGATAATCAGAACATCCATTTAAACTCTCCAATTCCTTATACTCTCAGTTGGTGAGTTTAAGGCCTTCCTGAGCTTATTCAATTATGTATTACAGCAGCATGTAGATCATTTTGCCCAAAGAGACTTTTTTTTTTTTTTTTTTTTTGAGACGGAGTCTCGCTCTGTCGCCCAGGCTGGAGTGCAGTGGCGCGATCTCGGCTCACTGCAAGCTCTGCCTCCTGAGTTCACACCATTCTCCTGCCTCAGCCTCCCGAGTACCTGGGACTACAGGCGCCCGCCACCTCACCCGGCTGGTTTTTTTGTATTTTTAGTAGAGACGGGGTTTCACCGTGTTAGCCAGGATGGTCTCGATCTCCCGACCTCGTGATCCGCCCGTCTTGGCCTCCCAAAGTGCTGGGATTACAGGCTTGAGCCACCGCGCCCGGCCCCAAAGAGACTTTTTTAATTGAATTTTGGGTAAATGAAGGTGTACTAAAAAGTTTGTCGGGAGGAAAGACATCAAGGAACATCCTACAAAGCTCACATCAAATGACATAATTTACGGTAAGTCTTTAAATGCAGAACAAAGACATGAGAAAGATACTTGGTATTAGTAAGCAGCTCAGAAAAATATTCAACTGCCCAAAACCAAAAAGGTAACCTTTTCTTCCCCTCCTCCACCCAAAAAGGTCTGTAAAAAAATAAGCTAACCCCTTTCAAACATGTCGGATTGTTTCACACGGAGTTATGATTATGCATTTCTGCAAAAAAAAAAAAAAAAAAAAAAAAAACACCTATCCAAAATGCAAATATAATTACAACAGGCTGTCTTGAGATAAAGGCTACAATGTAAGAAAAAACTACAATGCAAAATACTTCGGGAGCAAAGAGAAAGACAGTCAGAGCTGAGGGGTATGAAGAAAGTCCTTTTTCTCACTTCACCTAATTAATGTCTGCAAGTAAACCAAATTGTGGGGAAATACTTATTTTGAAGAAAGTAAGGAGAGTTTTAAAAAATACAGAAGTGCACAGAAAACTAAAAGTCTTACAGTACACATGGAAGTGTTGTTATTCTCAAAGAGTCACAATGTTTTAATAATTGTTCAACAAGGATTGTGAGAAATCCACTAGACTACATTACGTGCTGCCATCACAAAGAACACACATAAACACACACAAAACGGACTCATGCCAATAACTGCTCTATCATCTAAATGTTTCAGGTAATTGCCACTAATTCCAAAGAGAAATACCATCAATCCAAGTACTTTTGGTCTACAGTTATCTGATCCGTGTACCCGAATGTTACAGTGCCTGATCTATATTAACCCATAGTACCTTTACCGATTACGATCCAGAAGTTATCAATACAAAGCTTTTAAACAAACAAACAAAGACAGTAATCGCAAACAGAATTTGGAGTTCGGCAAGACCTACTTACTGGCAAGTCCACACTAACATCAGTACCATCCAGAAGGGACACCCGACACGTGATGATGGACTTAGAATCTCCAGCTGCAGGAATATGTGTGGCTGCGCGCTGTGCTTCTCGGAGTCGTTCCTTTTCCGCATGTTTACGCATAGACCGACGCCCCAGTGTTCTACGGAAGAAACTCAGCATTTTTGTCACTATAAAAGCAGAGAGAAAAAGATGGCATCAGCAAAAAAATGAGATTCTCCACAACTTGCAGTCAGTCAAATGGCATTATTTAGTCAAGTCCTGTGCAAATTAGTAGAAATGCTACTAAAAAGGCCTCCTGGGCTGGGTGCAGTGACTCACGCCTGCAATCCCAACGTTTTGGGAGGCCCAGGCAGCAGGACTACTAGAGTCCAGGAGTTCAAGACCAGCCTGGGCAACACAGTGAGACCTAATCACTACTAAAACTAAAATTACCCAAGTGTGGTGGTGCATACCTGTGGTCCCAGCTATTTGAGGGGCTATGAGGCAGAAGGATGACTTGACCCCAGGCAGTGAAAGCTGCAGTGAGCTGGGATTGCACCACTGCATTCTAGCTCGGGCAACAGAGCAAGACCCTGTCTCAAAAAATCAGTAAATAAAACAAAAAATAAAAAGGTCTCCTGGTCAAGTAAATCTGAAAAAAATCATTAAAACTGGCTACTTTTAATAAATATTTCAAGAGATATTATACATGATAAATATACACAATTTTTGTCAATTAAAAAGTTAATTTAAAAATCTGGTTACTTTAATTCAAAGTTTTAAAAGACTTGTATGTATAAGACATAGCCACGGTTTGTTTGGAGCTTTCTAAATTTACTGGACCATTTTATCAGGAACTGATTTGGCAGGAGAAGGCAAACACTCATGAAGTTCATCAGGTCTTCTAAAAAGATAAATTATATGTACAACATCTTGTATATCCTAAGATATACTAAGGTATCCTTTGATGATCATAAAAATCTTGAGAAGTGGTTGGGTGTGATGGCTCACGTCTGTAATCCCAGCACTTTGGGAGGCCAAGCCGGGTGGATCATGAGGTCAGGAGATAGAGACCATCCTGGCTAACACGGGGAAACCCCATCTCTACTAAAAATACAAAAAATTAGCCGGGCGCAGTGGTGGGCGCCTATAGTCCCAGCTACACGGGAGGCTGAGGTAGGAGAATGGCTCAGCCATTCTCCTGAATCCAGGAGGCGGAGCTTGCAGTGAGCTGAGATCACGCCAACTGCACTCCAGCCTGGGTGGCAGAGCGAGACTGTCTCAAAAAAAAAAAAAAAAAAGTCCTGAGAAGTTCCATTTCTTTTCTGAGCATTCATAACAAAAATATAAAAACAATCACCTATTTCAGCTAAAATACAAATATAATTCAAATTTCATAAGTTTTGTCAAATATTCTATTACATACAGATTTTAAATAACTACTTAACATAAATCTTTTTAATGTCAAAGTACTTTAACGCTACTTTTTTCCTTATCTCTATAAAGAACATTAATGTTAATCAAAACAGTTAAAACGGGTTTTAAAACATAGCACACTAAATGGAAACACAAAATCAAAGTCACTTTGCTATCCTAATGCGTTTCATTTGCACAACAAAGAGAGTTTAAGTACACATAAGCCACCAAATAAGCCAAAAAGGCTATTAATTCCAAACGAAACAAGAAGCTGTGCAGAAAAGGAAAAGTAAATCACAATACACTAGATGACTCAGCTGCTAATGATTTAAATGTCAAACACTAAATATTGAGCAAACAATAACTAACTACAACAGAGAGGAGGTACATAATAAGAGGTAGGGGATACAGATATGAAAAGAGTTAATTCCTCATCATGCGTAACAGCAAGCCAACAGGTCATCACTAAAATTAAAAAATCAAGAACTAGCAGTAAGAGCATTTGATTTAAAATGTGAAAATGATTGCCTTGGGAGAGGGAGCAGAAGAATTCAGAAGAATGCTGTTTTTCAAGAGAAGCCTTCAGATTAAATGACTTTTTCAACTAGATTTATTTATAAACCTGATAAAATCCAATTTTTAAGATACTACCATATTAAAATGTCTATACACCGAAGATTAACCTACACATTTTATACAAGTATACTCTTGTGTAATTAGGTAAACTAATCCCAAGGAGATAACTAAAATTTTAGTTAGGTAACTTTCCAGTGTGTCAAACACTCATATATAATAATACCTGATCCCACTCTCTCTCCAGATATTTCTCCCTTTGGAATTTGCTATCCAGTCTCATTTCAGCTGCCTAAGACAGTACTTGTTATCCCAGCTTTCTAAAATCCTGTGTCACAGAATCCCTACATATTCCTTTTAACTCCACCAATATCTCCCAAGAAACATTTTATGATATCCCACCACTGCACTCCAACCTGAGAGTGAGATGCTGTATCAAAAAAAGAAGAGCCTGATATGAAAAACTCCTAAAAGACAATTTGAAAGATGTTCATAAAAACGAACACCTTTAACAGTATCCAAGAAAATCCAAATGAAAAAAATAAGATACCATCCGTCTGTCATTTAAAGACTCAAGATAGTGTTAAAAAGAATGTGAGAAGGCCGGGCGCGGTGGCTCAAGCCTGTAATCCCAGCACTTTGGGAGGCCGAGACGGGCGGATCACGAGGTCAGGAGATCGAGACCATCCTGGCTGACAGGGTGAAACCCCGTCTCTACTAAAAAATACGAAAACTTAGCCGGGAGAGGTGGCGGGCGCCTGTAGTCCGAGCTACTCGGGAGGCTGAGGCAGGAGAATGGCGTAAACCCGGGAGGGGGAGCTTGCAGTGAGCTGAGATCCGGCCACTGCACTCCAGCCTGGGCGACAGAGCGAGACTCCATCTCAAAAAAAAAAAAAAAAAAAAAAAAAAGAATGTGAGTCATACATTGGCCTTTTTTGGAGGGAGATTTGCCCATGCTATTAATATTTTTTTTTAATTATTATTATTATTTTTTTTTTTGGAGACAGTCTCACTCTTGTTCCCCAGGTTGGAGTGCAATGGCACAATCTTGGCTCACTGCAACCTCTGCCTGCCAGGTTCAAGCGATTCTCTTGCCTTGGCCTCCCGAGGAGCGGGGATTACAGGCACCAGCTACCACGCCCGGCTAATTCTTGTACTTTTAGTAGATACTGGGTTTCACCATGTTGGCCAGGCTGGTCTCAAACTCCTGACCTCAGGTGATCCACCCACCTCAGCCTCCCAAAGTGCTGGGATTACAGGCGTGAGCCACCTCACTGGGCCAATATTAAAAATTTTAACATGCATACTCCTTACTCAACAGTTCTATTTCTGGAAGGATAACCTAAAGAAAAAAAAAATCACACCTGTGCTTTAAGTTGTAGGAACGGGATTTTTCGGGGCATAACTGATTTAAGAAAATTTTAAATATGTTCATCAATGTGCAGTTAAACAAGTTATGGTACACACAACGGCATACAATACAGTTGTTTTATTTTTATTTATGTATTTATTTATTTATTTTAGAGACGGTCTCACTCTAGCATCCAAGGCTCACCAGGGCCTTCATCTACCATCCTCAAGGGATTCTCCCACCTAGGGCTACAAGCACATACCACCCCACCCAGCTAATGGTTTTTTAAGCTATTTTTTGTAGAGACAGGGTACTGCTACTTAGCCAGGTTTGTCTCAAACTCCTGGCCTCAGGGAATCCTCCCACCTCAACCTCCCAAAGTGCTGGGATTACAGGCATGAGGCACCAAGCCTAGCCATAATACAGTTGTTTTAAATAAATACTTGACTTAGATATGACAACATTTGTAAGTGAAAAATCAAATCACAGAACACTGAAGAGTTTTATCCTACACTGAGGTGGGATCCATGCACACACACACACAGACGCTAAACAGACACGCTCGTAAACTGTTAAGTGAGATTCTCTCTGAAGAGGGACATGTCAGAGGTCACAACAAGAATATATGGCCGGGTACAGTGGCTCACATCTGCAATCCTGGCACTCTGGGAGGCTAAGTCAGGACGACTGTTGGAGGCCAGGAGTTCAAGACCTGCGTGGGCAACATAGCAAGACCCCATTTATTTTTTTTTTTAAATGGAAAAAACCACAATAATATATGAATGGGTCATTAAAAGCTGTGGGGATTTTTTTTTATGACTGTGAAAAAAGTTTCCTCATACTCACTTCTCCCTTCCCACCTGCACTCTCCCAATTCCACTCTTCATGTCGCAGCCACTGGATTCTTGGCAACCACAAATCTGATCCCTATTCTAAAATATTTAATGGCCCTGGTCCTAGATGCAGCTCCTCCTACTTGCCTGACCCATCTGTCAACCTACTCCCTACTGTTGGCTCTGCTCTTGTACTCTTTCTGCTCGGCCCAAGAGTCTTCTTAATTCTGGACCATTTTTCACTAGCTGTTCCACCTTCCTGGAATGCTTTTTTTCCACTTCCCCTCTCTTCCACCCGCTCCCACTTCACTGGACTAACTTCAGACTTACAGTCGAAATGTCTTAGTCTCAGAAAAACAGAGTCTCAGACTTGTGAGTCTAAATTCGATGTCCCTTTTAGTCCTCTTAGCCTTTTCTTTATAACAAAAACATTGTAATTAAGTATCTGTTAATTATTATTTTTTTACTGGCTACTTCCCCCATTCACACACAAGGACAAAGATTTCGTCTGGCTTGTTCACTGCTTCGGCCCAACAGCTGGCTTAACAACCCGCATATCAGGCACTCAATAAAAAACTCGCCTGACACACTAGAATGACAGTGGAATTTTTGGATGGTAGGTTTATGTGGCTTCCAAAAAACAGCTGTTTCTACTCTAGCTCCTAACTAGAAGGATTTCCTTTGGAATCATAAAACGCAAATTTAAGCAATCCTAACAGAAGTTGGTTAAAAGAAGTATCCAAAACTCAAAAGTTACTCATGAAATATGTATACTCTTACATGACTGGTGGCCACAATATGGTAATTGCTTTTTGATAAAGCAATATACAGTAAATGCCATGAAGGTACCACTATATTTTGTCCCAGAAATCCCAATAAAGAAAATGCAAGCGAGTAATTCAACAGCAGTTACGCATATCGCTTTCGAATGAAGTTAGCCTATTTTCCAAAACCTGCACACTATCTTACATGCACAAATAATCCAACAAGGTTAACTAGAGCTCAGCAACAGGTTACGTTAGAAACTGAGTTAATGCAGTTGTGGGTTACATTAGAAATGTACACGGTTATGGGAATTTTCCCCGTAATTCTTTAAAAAAATGTTAATACTAGTCTAAAATATTGCCAAACTTTTTAAGACTCGGGTCTCGCTCTTAGGTAGAATTCAAGTAACCACAGAGACAATTAACATTTACACACCAAAGAACCCATCATTAGCACGACAAACGCATCGGGTGGGGGCGGGGCGGGCGCTTCAGACCTCGTCTTTCCGGGGAACACACCTGCATCTCCTTTCCCAAGGAGCTGAAATTTTACTCAAATACAAGTCAGCTCGAAAAGTTCACCAAAACCGTGACACAAACTCAGTTCGTTTTTCCCCCTCCCTTGCGACTTTTGTCTCTCCCGCTGGACGGCAGCCCCGCGGACCGGCGAGGGGTGCCCGCGGCCCCAGGAGCGCGTCCGCCCGGCAAACATTAACCCGGCTGCCCCGGGCCCTCCGCTCCGGCCCGTCGCGCGGTATCGACCGAAACTCGGCGGCCCTGCCTCATTGGCCGCCGCCGCCCCTCCCTCCGGCGGGATTAATGCCCTGCCGGCCCGACGAGCCAAGGACCGGCCGCCCTAAGGTCTGGGCGCGGCCCCCGCCCGCCTCCCCGGGGACAAGGCCGCCACCGCAGGCGCGGGCGAGGAGGGGTCCGCTCGGCTAGGAGGGCAGCGGGCTGTACCGCGGCGCCGCCGGGCCTCGCGCTTACCTGAGCGGGGACGGCGCGGCCCCGGCGACCAGAGGAGAGAAAAGCCGAGCAAGGCTGAGGAAGGGGCGACTCCTCGGGAGACGCCGAGAAATGGCGCCCACAGCGAGCCCACCGGCTCTAATCCCCGCAGGACCCCGACCTCCCGCCCGTCCGCCCCTTAAAGCTCCCTCCCAGCTCCGCCCCCAGGGCGGAGCGCTCCGCTCTTAAACGGGCGATGACACCGCCCCGGAAACTGGCTGGCAGGGCGACTGGAGAAAAACCGGCGACGCCGGGCCGGGACGGGCTGGAACTACTGTCAGCAGCCGGGCGTCCGCGGCTGGTTTAATGGGGCGCTGCCGAAACCCAGCTCTCGCTGCGGCCCTCCGCCCGCGGAGGAGGTGCTCGTCCGCAGACAGACCCCAAGTTAGTCCTATCACGAAGGAGGCTGGTGGAGCTGACTGCTGGATCTTCGTTCAAGAGATTAATTGCTTCGCAAATACTTACTGAGAGCTTGTCATATATTTCCTCCCTTTTTCTTTTTTGTAGGGATTAAAATACATTTAAATCTCTGCTATTAAAGTAACTTTCACTCTACTGGGGAGAGAAACAGTAAACAAATAGGTGTCAAAGGTGATTAAGTATAAACAAAGAAAAATAAAACTGGGAAAGAGAAATAAAAGATTACTGCTTAACAGACTGTGGTGGTGGCGGGGTACTCTCCAACAAGGTGACATTCAGTCCATTCATTCTACAGGTAATTTATTGAAGTGCCTACTATGGGTTCTGTGTTCTAGACACGAGATACGACAGACAACCAAGACAGGCAAAAATCCTTCCTGGAGTTTATGTTATAGCAGGAATATAAACGAGACAGAAAATAAACGAGATGAATTAGTGAAATTAAATACTGTTAGACATTGGTAAATGCTAAAGAGAAAAGTAGAAGTAGGGAATAAGGACAGGGAGTGAGGGTTTGCGATTTTACACAGACAGCAGGTCTCCATAAGAAGGTGGCATTTGGCTGGGCGCGGTGGCTCACACCTGTAATCCGAACACTTTGGGCGGCCGAGGCGGGCGGATCACGAGGTCAGGAGATCGAGACCAGTCTGGCCAACATTGTGAAGCCCTGTCTCTACTAAAAATACAAAAATTAGCCTGGCGTGGTGGCATGGGCCTGTAGTCCCAGCTACTCAGGAGGCTGAGGCAGGAGAGTCGCTTGAACCCGGGAGGCGGAGGTTGCAGTGAGTCCAGATGACACCACTGCACTCCAGCCTGGCGACGGAGCCAGACTCAGTCTTAAAGAAAAAAAAAAAAAAAAGGAAGGTAGCATTTGAGCGAAGACCTACAAGAAGTGTGGGAGGAACCCTGTGGCCGTCTGGGGAGGACCAAAGGGAAGAGCAAGGGCAAAAGGCCCTGCAAGGGGACAGGTCTGTCTGTTGAAGGAAGGCCTTTTGGCTAGAAGTGAGGAAGCAAGAGGAAGAGAAGGAAGAGGTGACAGTCCGAGAGGAAAGGGGTAAGATGGAGGGCCCTGTGGGCCCTGGCCAGAGCTCTGAGAGAGGTGGGGGAGCCACTGGAAGGTGCTACCTTGAGGACCCTCTGCTGGCTGAAATGAAAACAGATAAATACTCATTGAGCTTCTTCTGGGAATTTGGCACTACCCACTCCACCACCACCCCAAAACATAGTAGACAGGCTTGGCAGCTCATCTCTGCCCCATGTGGTGTTGGCTGGGCAGCTCAACAAGTGCTGGAGCTGCCAAGGTGGTTTCACTGGTCTGTGTGGCATCTCTGCTGGGGTGGCTCAAAAGAACTGCTGGATTCTGCCTGGGCTACTCTCCTACAGGTCCGTTGGTATGGCAAAACAGTGAAAACAGAAACTCCGGGGCCGATGAAGGGCTATGCCCAGCAGTCACAGAGCATCCCTTCTGCTACCTGTTAATGGTTTAAGCAAATCACAGAGACTCTACCTCTTTGTTTTCTTTAAGTATTATTAAAATAGAGAAATTTTTCTTCTCCACCTTTTAAAAGCATCTTTATTGAGATATAATTCACCCACTTAAAGTGTACACTTCCATGGCTTTGGGTATTTTCACAGAGTTGTACAACCACAATCTAATTGTGGAATATTTTCATCACCCTTCATTAGAGGAGCAGCATGGGTTTTCAGGGATGGGAGGAATTGGTGGTGGTCATCTTGCATCTTTATCTCAATAAAAAAAAGAAATGATGATATGGCAGGGGGAAGCAGCGAAGGTACAGATGAAACAAGAATGGGCCATGAACTGAGGCTGGGTGATGGGGACATTAAACTATTCTATCTAAAATGTTTCACAATAAAGTCCTTTAGACCGAGCATGGTGGCTCATGCCTGTAATTCCAGCACTTTGGGGGGCCGAGGCGGGAGGATCACTTGAGGTAGGAGTTCGAGACCAGCCTGGCCAACATGGTAAAACCCCATCTCTACTAAAAATACAAAACTTAGCTGGGTGTGGTGACACATGTTTGTAATCCCAGCTACTCGGGAGGCTGAGGCAGGAGAATCATTTGAACTTGGGAGGTGGAGGTTGCAGTGAGCTGAGATTGCACCATTGCACTCCAACCTGGGTGACAGAGACTCTGTCTGGAAAAAAAAAGTATTTTTAAAAATACCTCCTGGACACCTGTAATCCCAGAACTTTGGAAGGCCAAGGCTCAAGCGTTCTAGCTCAGGAGTTTGAGACTGGCCTGAGCAACATGGTGAAAATCATCTCTACTAAAAATACAAAAATTACCCAGGTGCAATGGCCTGCACCTGTAGTCCCAGCTACTCGGGAGGCTGAGGCAGGAGAATCGCATGAATTCAGGAGGTGGAGGTTGCAGTGAGCTGCTATCTCTGCACTGCACTCCAGCCTGAGCAATGGGAGTGAAACTCTGTCAAAAAAAAAAAAAAAAAAAAACCCACCCAGGCCACGTACCCCTGAAAAGCATTCCTTCTTCCCAGGGGTCTGATTAGCCAGTTTGAAAACTACAGGGTCTTCAGTGCCATCTCCTCAGCCTGTACAGGCTGTCTCTCTTTATGTTTACCTGATGTTTACTCATTTGAAAAGTTCGGGTTTATCTGATTACAGATCAGAAATGGAAGCACATTCTGTCAATACTTATAAACATATCTTATTATCCTAAATTGTCGGAAAGCATACCAGTTTTGAAAAACAGTGTCCTCCTCATCCATCCTGCTCAATCTTTTTTTCTGTCCCCTATCAAAGGTGGAATTGGGGCCGGGCACGGTGGCCCATGCCTGTAATCCCAACACTTTGGGAGGCTGAGGCAGGTAGATCACCTGAGGTCAGGAATTTGAGACCAGCCTGACCAAAAAGGTAAAACCCTGTCTCTACTAAAAATACAAAAATTACCCAGGAGTGGTGGTGTGTGTCTGTAGTCCCAGCTACTTGGGAGGCTGAAGCAGGAGAATTGCTCGAACCCGGGAGGCAGAGGTTGCAGTGAGCTGAGATCGCACCACTGCATTCTAGCCTGGGTGACAGAGCAAGACTCCATCTCAAAAAAAAAAGAAAAAGAAAAAAGATGGAATTGAAGGAGGCTGTGGATGAGGTTAGAGAAATCCATTGAGAAAGATGGTTATAGGCTAAAGGAAATATGAAGACTTGAGGAAAGGAGGATGAAGCTTAAGGGGCCCAAGTCATAGAAAATTGTTCATGTTCTAATTATGCGAAATTATTCCTAAAAACAAGTCATCGTTTCCCCAAATCCTCTCTCCTAGACATAGGGGCCCTCTGCAACCCATGTTTTGTAATAAATTCCCCCAGAAAATTGACTTTCACCAGAGACAGAGAAAGCCCTCTCCTTGAAGATAGCTGTATCAAGGAAGAATGCATTTGGCTGGAAGTAATGGGAAATTTTAACTGTTATTTGAACAAATAAGGAGTTTATTTTTCTCACATAAGTAATCTAGAGGTAGGTGGCTGTTAGTCCTGGTTCTGCTCCTCAACAATGCTGTAAGGGTCCTAAACCCCTTTACCATTTCTGCTCTGCCACCCTTAGCATGTTGACTTTGGTTTTCAGGCTTCTAGCCTACTGGCCACAGGATGGATGCTTATCTCCAGCTCTCTTGAGTTTCAGGAATAAAAGGGAAGGGGAAAAAGACCTTTACCTGAAGCCTTGTCTTTTAATCAGAGAAGACAGTACCAGCACCCCCTGTCTCCGGCCAGAACTACATGACCTGCCCTTACTCAGGCCAATTAAAGGCCATAGGGAAAGAGAATACCATGATTGGCTTTGACCAATCAGAATTCACTCTTGGGAGCTGGAGATCAAGGGCTCTCCTTAACTTTTTGAACAAATCCAAATTCTATTAGCCTCAAAGAGGGGATGTTGCTGAGACAAATGACTGTGGGTAGCTATAGAAGGTGCCTACTGGCCTGGCACGGCGGCTCACACCTGTAATCCCAGCACTTTGGGAGGCCGAGGTGGGAGATCATGAGGTCAATAGATAGAGACCATCCTGGCCAACATCGTGAAACCCCGTCTCTACTAAAAAAATACAAAAATTAGCTGTGCATGGTGGCGGGTGCCTGTAGTCCCAGCTACTCAGGAGGCTGAGGTAGGAGAATCACTTGAACACCAGAGGTAGAGTTGCAGTGAGCCGAGATTGCGCTACTGCACTCCAGCCTGGCAACAGAGTGAGACTCCGTCTCAAAATGAAAAATAAAAAAAAATAAAAAAAATAAAAAAAAGAAGGTGCCTATCACAACCCACTTCCTGATGGCATTGTCTTGGCCCATGGAAAGATTTTCTTTTATTGAACTAATACTGAACGAATACCCTCATTTGAGATTTTCACTTCTATCCTAGGTCCTGGTTTGCTCCCTGTTTCCACACAGAAAGGGATATATCCAGTTTTGTGAAACTCATATACTGTAATTTGGTGGTGGGGGAAGAGGTCTTTAGTTGAAATAACACAAATGTAAAGATTCAAAATTAGGTACAAGGTCTTGGAAGGAGGCCACACAGTAGCCCTAAAGCTTAAACCAGATTATCTTCACAGTAAATCTACCTCTACCCCTAAGAAAAATCATAATCTCTCTTTCACATCACAACCCTTTAAATAATTGAAGACACTTGTCCCAAGCCTGCAAAATCTTCTCTTGTTCTGATTTCCAGGCTCTTTGCTTCCTTGGTCAGCCTTCTCTGAACTGGTCCACC